CTGCTGGATTTTATGCCTAAGGCAGGACTAGAATTCACAGTCTCCTGTTGATTGGCCCACAGTCAACCAACTGGCTTTCAGGCCTAAGGCGGGACTAGAACTCACCATCTCCCGGTTTCTAGTCTGATGCCTTCACCTCTAGACCAAGGAACCTCAAAAGGCCTCTGGTTTTTGCACCCCTGCCTGGTGCCCAAATCTCTCATTAGGAACCAGTTGCAATTAGCACAACCAAGACGTGGTTCTGAAGAGATCCCCTTTACCTGTACAGCTTAGGAATGGCGTGAGCGGCAGTTTTGCGCACATATGGAGACATGTCTGATGCTGCCTCCTTGATGGCCAACATCATGATGGGGACGATGATGGGGACACGGATGCTGGAAAGGACCCGGAGGGCGCTGGCTCGAATCAGCTGATTGGGATCCTGGAGCCAAGAAGAAATTGAGACGAGACTGGAAGATTTCAAGCTAACCCCTGCTGTAAGACCACCCCTGCATCCAGTTTTGGTCACCACATTATAAAAAAGATGTTGAGACGCTAGAAAGAATGCAGAGAAGAGCAACCAGGATGATTAAGGGACTGGAGGCTAAAACACACAATGAACGGTTGCAGGAACTGGGCCTGGCTAGTCTAGGGAAGAGAAGGACCAGGGGAGACAGGATAACAGTCTTCCAATATTTGAAGGGAGAGAGAGAGAAAGGAAAGAAAATGAGGAAGGAAGGAAGGAAGGAAGGAAGGAAGGAAGGAAGGAAGGAAGGAAGGAAGGAAGGAAGGAAGGAAGGAAGGAAGGAAGGAAGGAGAGAAAGAAAAAACAAAAAGGGATAGAAAGAGGGAGAGAGAAAGAAAACAAAAAGATAGAAAGAGAGGAGAGAAAGAAGGAAGGAAGGAGAGAAAGGAAGGAAGAGGGAGAGAAAGGGGGAGAGAGCAGGAAAGAGTGACTAAAAGCTAAAACATGATGAACAGCTGCAGGAACTGGGCATGGCTAGTCTAGGGACTAGGGAAGACATGATAGAAGTCTTCCAGTATTTGAGGGGTTGTCCCAGAGAGGAGAAAGGGGTCAAGCTATTTTCCAAGGCACCTGAAGGCCAGACAAGGAATAATGGATGGAAGCTGATCAAGGAGAGATTCTACCTAGAAATAAGGAGAAAATTTCTGACAGTGAGAACAATCAACCAAGGAACAGAAGTTGCCCTCAGAAGTTGTGGGAGCTTCATCCCTGGAGGCTTTCAAGAAGAGACTGGGCTGCCATTTGTCAGAAATAGTGTAGGGTCTCCTGCTTGGGTGGGGGGATTGGAGTAGATGACCTACAAGGTCCCTTCCAACTCTGATTATCTGTCCTAAGGACACAGATAAAACCTGTTGAAGTCAGAGGAAATCACCTCCAGTGCTCAAGGCATTTGGGCATTCCATTCAACCCCTGTCCCCATGACAAGTAGTCCTCGAATTACGACCAGTTGGTCAGTGACAGTTCGAAATTACAACAGGTACCCCAAGAGCTACTTATATATAACCTGGTTTTCCAACATTGGGTGCTTCCCCCGTGGTCATGTGACCACATACGGAGTACTCAGCAACCGGCTTGCATTTACAGTGTCATGTGACCACTATTTATGATGGTTTTGCTGGTCCGTAGTGAACAATGGGCTTGCTTAACGACAGGCTGCGTTTGCCACAAAAGAAAGGTGACTGTAGTTGCAATTGCAGCCATAATACAAATACCTTCTATATCAGCACATGCCCTACAAGAGCGATTGAGTATCTCAATGACCAACCTTGAGTCCTCGCTGGAAAGTCGAGATTGACAATAAGGCCAAATCTTGCTGTTCTTCTGCATACCGGACAAGGTAGACGTAAACCAGCTTCTTCACCTGGCAGGGAAACGGCGTAAGGATCAGGCAGGAACTTGAGAACTTGGCTTATGTTCTTCCTGAACTATCAACCCTTCCCCTTGGATGGACACGACTTAGCAACTGAACAACAACAACCAACACCCACAGGGTTAAGCAGGGGTTTGGACCAAGACAATTGCTTCCTGGTTCAAACTTGGAAGTCCACAGCAACATTAGCATATATGCAGAGGTGAGATTCTACCGGTTCAGACTGGTTCCATAGAACCGGTTGTGATGATTCTGCGCAGCTCAGAGAACTGGCAAATCGTGCCCCTGGCTGGACCCTCCCTTCTCCATCCTCCTCTCCCCTCCTCACCCAGTCAGTCCTTATCATGCATGCGCGACATCATTGACTGCGTTTTTCCCTGCCTGGTCCCTCTTTAAAGTATTTCTTTTTTTCCCCTCCCAACGATCAGCTGTTCCGGTGATCAGCTGTGCCGGGATCCCCCTCGCTGTCTTACCGCTTTGCCCAGGAAGCTTCCCTGAGGCCCAGGAGGTCCAAAAAATAGTAGAAGGGTTCGCTGCAACAAAAAAAAAGCCACCCCCACCCAGTCACATGGCCATGCCCACCTAGCCACACTCACCTAGCCACACCCACATTACCAGTTGTTAAAAAATTTGAATCCCACCCCTGCGTATATGTCACATAGGACCTTTATTCAGAAAACAATGTGAGTTTACCAAAACTCCCCTTATTGCATAACGTTTACTTAGGAGAGGCAACCTGGTGCCCTCAGAGTCTTTTTAGATGGCAGCTCTTCCCGTTTGCTGCCATGTGCTTGGATAGATAAGAATTACCGTCTGAAGTGCTGGAACCCATGAAAAAATTTGAAGAATCTTCAGCAGAGAAACACCCTTAGCTGGCTCCCCTCCGTTAAGTATCCAAGTCCACAGTTTGCTAACCACACCACTGGAGTCACAGAATATAATCTGTTCCAAACATCTGATATTTTTCAGTTTAGTTTAGTCCAATGTGTAGACACAGGGAATGCTTGCACAAGTTGACTTACCTCTATGTTCTTGCAAGCCACGTTTTTGACCACGGCTGGGAAGAGGTCTGATGCGTTCTTGCCTCGAGCTATCATCTGGGGGCAGGACAAACAGCCATGGGATTAGTTAGTGGAGAATGTAGGGCAGGGAACTTCCATCATCAAATGTCGTGGCCCCTTTGGAACCTTCTTGAGATGGCCTCCTACTCGTCTCTCAATACTTTAAATCTACGTTTCTCAATTTAGCAATTTTAAGATGAGTGGACTTCAACTTCCAGAATTTCCCCAGCCAACCCTGGGTTCTGGGAGATGAAATCCACTCACCTTAAAAGCTGTTAAGGTTGAGAAATACTGCTTTATATAGAAGGTATGAGATGACACACTCTCGTGGTCATTTTTGGCTTCAAGATCCTGCTCATCAAATCCCGAGGGATTGTATTTTTTTTGACAAGGAAACAATCCCAAAAGGTTATCATTAAATGGAGAGGAGAAAAGAGAAAGGATAACCTTCGCACAAGTCCCTCAACCAAGAAAGGAGAGGATGCTAGATCTTTGACTCCTTAAACAGAAGGAGAGAACTTAACACCAAAGAAAACTAAAGAACTTATAATTGACTTCAGGAGGAAGAGAGATGTACATTTACCATTATACATAGATGGTGAGGAGGTGGAATGGGTTGGTAATTTTAAATTTCTGGGCACTTCTATCTCAGAGGACCTCTCATGGACTATGAAGGCTAACATGCTTGTGAAGAAGGCACAGAAGAAGAGGCTGCACTTCCTGAGAATGCTCAGGAAGATAAATCTATCTCGGCATCTACTTCGGTCCTTCTACCGCAGCACCACTGAGAGTGTCCTGACATACGGCATCCTTGCATGGTACGGGAGCAGCTCTGCAGCGGACAAAAAAGCTCTACAGAGAATCATTCAAACTGCCCAGAATATCATCAGGCTCCAGCTCCCAGCCCTGGATGACACCTTCGCATCTCGCTGTTTGAGGAAGTTGCACCACATTCTCAGAGACTCTTCCCATCCTGCTCACAATCTTTGTGAACTGTTGCCTTCTGGCAGAAGATGCAGAAAAATGAAAACTCGGACCACACGTTTTCCTAACAGTTTTTATCCCAGAGCTATAATTGCCCTTGACAATGAACCTAAGGGCCACCATCAGTGAGCTGTTGGACAGCATTACTTAGTCTGTTGTGTGGATGCTGGTGTGTTTTTAGGAGGTGGGGAATTTTGGTGTGTGTGTGTGTGTGTTTGGGGATTATCATGTGTGCGTGCATGTTGAGTCTGGTCTCTGGGTGTTATGTGAATTTTGTTGTATGTGTATACTGTGTATATACGTACAATGACAATAAAGTATTATTATGATTGTTATTGTTCTGGTTGTGGTTGTTATTGGTTAATCTTTAGTGAGATTCACAGCCTTTGGGGCTGGTTGATAGCTCAACAGCTCCAATCCTAACCAAGGACCTAGGAACTGTTAAGAGGATATAAGCTGTTATTATTATTATTATCATCATCATCATCTTCATGCTGGACCACAAGCTGGGTCTTGGCCATCATAATCAAAGGATGAGTATCTTAAACAGGCGTGATAGCACCGAAGAGATACTTACTGCCACAATCCTCTTCATTGCTTCCAGCTTCAAGGAATCCTTGTTGCTGTCCAGCATCTCCTTCAGATCGTCATGTCTGGAAAGAAACACAGAGATGGTTGCAGGAATTCAAAACAATGGGAGCCCCAGTGTATTTGTCCCAGCATCTGATGGACTTGGTAGACTTCAGGGCCTGAATCCTCACCTCGGTTGAGCTGGGATCTATGTTCAACTCAGTGGAGGGAGCCAGGGAAAAGAAAGGCGGATGGTAGGGAAGAGAGATTAAGAGATTAAGTTCCCAATTCCAAACTAAAGAAAACCTGGAAGAAGGAAGTCACCATTTTTCAATCTCCATCATTTTAATCATGCTGGCTGGGGCAATTTAGGGAATTGAAGCCAACACAGCTTAAAGTTGGAAAGATGGAGAAACACTTCCCAAAACGGCAGCTCAATTGCTGTCCACCTTCCAAAGATTAAAGTTCATTATCACTGGGTGAAAAAGAAAGATACTCACAAAAATAGGTGCCAACTAAATATATGCCAGCCTATTTAGGCTTAATGAAAATAACAAAGGGTAACTCTATGAATATTCAGTCCAAAACAGAATTCAACGCTCTTCTTCCCACCATAAAAGTCAAATCTTTCAATTGGGTTTATTCAACTGGGCATATAAGCAATTATGGGGTTTGCTCAGATTTTAGCTGAGGGTTACATGAATCCAACTAATCATGGTTTAGCCAACCAACCACGGCTGAGTTCATTCGTGAACACAACCATGGCCAGGATTCAATCATGCAGAGCCATGGCTTGGTCAAAAGGCCATAATGCTGAGATACGTACAAGCCATGATTCATAAAATATAATGGCTGGATTCATACACCTTCCTCAATCCCTACCCACCAAGATAGAGGCTTACTGCCTTGTGTGAACCCCACAATTGTTCCTTTGACCTGGGCTTGGCAGGAGACTCCAAAACATGGCAGAGACAAGATGGAGAAATACAGGTAAACCTCGTCTTATGACCAGTTGCGTAATGACAATTTGCAGTTACGTTAGGACCCCCCCCCCTCCCCAAAAGCTACTTATGATCCAGATTCAAATTTGGCTCGTGGTCAAGTGTCCATATCCCAGCCCAAGTTTACAGTCATTTGCAGCTTTTTGCAACCACACCACCACAATTTACAATGTTTTTTTTTTTTTTGCCAGAAATTGTCTTTTGCTTCCGGTTTCCTCAGCAAAAACACTCCACAGCGAACAATGGGTTCCTTTAATAATCGCAGTATCCACTTAATGACCGCTGCAAAATAGGTCATAAAATTAGGTGCGGAAAAGAAAGGCGGATGGTAGGGAAGCGGGAGAAGAGATTAAGTTCCCAATTCCAAACTAAAGAAAAGCTGGAAGAAGGAAGTCACCGTTTTTCAATCTCCATCATTTGAAGCATGCTGGCTGGGGCAATTTAGGGAATTGAAGGCAACACAGCTTAAAGTTGGAAAGATGGAGAAACACTTCCCAAAACGGCAGCTCAATCGCTGTCCACTTTCCAAAGATTAAAGTTCTTTATCACTGGGTGAAAAAGAAAGATACTCACAAAAATAGGTGCCAACTAAATATATGCCAACCTATTTAGGCTTAATGAAAATATCAAAGGGTAACCCTATGAATATTCAGTCCAAAACAGAATTCAACTCTCTAAAATTAGGTGCGGCCACATGTAACATGCTTAAGGATCATCACAACTCAGGACCAACATATTGGGTTTAATTATGGTTGTTAAGGCCAGGGCTACCTGTAGAAGGGATCTTATCGGTCACACCACCTGGAGAGGAATTTGATCTCAGGGGCTGGTTGAAGGAATTTGATCTTCTCGGGGACTTGTTTATACCCAAGCAATCCAATCCCACAAAGGGCTGTGAAATATTTATCACACGGTGAATTCATCCGGAGCAACGTGAAAGTGAGAAGGCAGATGGAGCGAGAAAAGTAACACTAAGAAAATGGCTTGTTTTACTGTGACTGAGCTGGCTGCAGGAACCTGGCTTGATTCACAGCTCAGCAAAACTAGCAAATCCAGCCAAACAAGAGTTCGATCCAATAAGCCATAATAAAACCACGATGGTCACATCTTGCACCAAGCTGAAAGTAACATCCAAGCCAGTCAAGGAAAGCCTTTGCATGTCTGAATGCACTCAGCAGACATTGCCAATGAAACCACTGTCCCCTAGACCCTAATATAAGATGCAGTAGAAAGGTGGTAATTCAACAGTAAGAGGGTTGTGTATGAAATAATACTATAGAATGGTAACTTAGAAGAGACTGTCCGTGGACTGGAAATGCAACCTTAAAATGCAACCGATTATAAGCCAATTTTCTTCTTCTTGATACGATTAATCAACTTAGAATAATTGGACATAATTGCCCTCGCATGAATGCACCCAAATATCTGCAACTGGTGTGACTAAGTCCTAGCCCTCGTTTTATAAGCCACAATGGCCGAGCTCACATGGTCTGTTATGACAGAAAGAGACCACGATTAAACAAGCCATGATTGATTACAGGGGTGAACCCAACAGATGAAGGAAGTAAAATGTCTGAGCTGACTCCGTCGGAGCTCCAGTAAGGAAATGCAACAATACTCTGGATCAGCGGTCTCCAAAGATGGCTACTTTAAGACTTGTGGACTTCAACTCCCAGAATTCCCCAGCCAGCCATGCTGGCTGGGGAATTCTGGGAGCTGAAGCCCGCAAGCCTTAAAGTGGCTAAATTTGGAGGCTCCTAACTCTGGATTATCCAGTTTAGGGAATCACTCTACGAATGTGCGATTATCAAATTATCCTGCTGTCTCTGGGGTCCCGCATTAAAATACAAACGCAGCAGGGCACATTTTGCTTTTCTCGCCTTCCTTTATAACGCATAAGGGGTTAAGCTGAATCAACACAATCCAAGATTCACCCAACACTCACAGCTTTGGTGTTTATAACGTCAGCCGTTATTTTCCCACTCCCTGAATTATAATCAGTTTTCAAGATTTCGGCAACGCAGCCATGAGCTGCAAGCTACATTTGCCCAAAGCTGTGATTCCCACTAACTCGGGTCAACCCAGCTTAGCCTTGTGAGGCCAACATAGTCACTTCCTGCATTAGGTCTTCTTCCCCGGGCTACGAGAGTTGTGTGAACCCAACCCCTCAGCCGCCTTTGCACGCCACCCAAGAGAGTTTCTACTTCACCCTTTTTTTCCTTCCGTTCTCACCACCCACCTAAATCTCTCCCAAAGGGGTCAGTTTCACAAAAACCCCTTAGCCAGGGGTTCCCCGTTGTGAGGCTGCCTCCTGTTGCACACCCCCAAAGCCTCTAAGGCTAAGGAAGAGCGCCAGCTCACTTCTCACAAGTTGAAGTCTGACACGAGAGCGAGCGGCTGGGTGGCACACCCGGGTCTACTTGGTCTTGGGAATGCAACCCAGAACCCTCCCCCGATTGGCAGGATGGGGGGGGGAGGCAGGTTCGCTGGTCCCCTGAGCTGAGCCAAGCCCTTCCCCGCCTCTTTTCCCTCCCTCCCCCCCCCCCCCTCAACACCGCCACCTCCACTCGCTCTACCGGAGCGGCTGCACCACGCTGCCCTCCAAGCTGCGCTCCTGCTGCTGCTGCTGCTGCTGCTGTTGGCCGGCGGGGGCGGCCTCCAGGTCGGGCCCCTTCAGCAGCCTCAGCTCGTCGCCTTCCAGCGTGCGGTACCAGCTCTGCGGCGCTCCATCGGGCACCAGCACGGGGCTCTTGGCCTCCTTGGTGCCCGCCGGCGGCGCCTTGACCAAGTGGACTGCGCCGACGGGCAATTGCTGCAGCAGCTTCTGCATGGCCGGGGAGGCGGCAACAGCGGCGGCGGCTGGGCTTCCCGGAGCGGCTCTCCCCCCCGCCTCCACCAGCGCTACCACCGCCCCCTCCCCAGCCAGACGCCTTGCAAACCGCTGGAGCTCGCCGGCTCCGCCGCCCAGCCACGTTAGCAGCTCCGCCGCCTCGCTGGCCGGGCGGGGCTTCGGGGGAACGCCAGCCACTCCACTCGCAGCCCTGCAGGCTGCTCCGCTGAAACCAGACGCCGCGCCAGCCGCCGACTCAGGCGGCAGCAGCAGCAGCAGCGGCGGCGGCGGCAGCAACAGCAGTATATGCGAAAGCATTGGGCGCAGCGCCACCTGGCGGCCCAGTGAAGAGCTTCCCCGGGTCCACAGCCCCTGCTGGGGGCTGCGAAGGGTGACCACGCGCAAGGGTCCCCAAACTTGGCAGCTTTAAGACTTGTTGGACTTCAACTCCCAGAATTCCTGAGCTAACATTGACTGGAGGAGGAATTCCGGGAGTTGAAGTCCACAAGTCTTAAAGCTGCCAAGTTTGAAGACCCCCTGGAATAGATAGAGAAAGGGAGGTAGAATAGATAGAGATAGCATAGAATGGATGGATGGATGGATGGATGGATGGATGGATGGATGGATGGATGGATAGACAGATAGATAGATAGATAGATAGATAGATAGATAGATAGATAGATAGATAAGGATAGGATAGGATAGGATAGGATAGGATAGAATAGAATAGAATAGAATAGAATAGAATAGAATAGAATAGAATAGAATAGAATAGGAGCAAGGCTCTTGGCAGCTTTAAGACTTGTGGACTTCAACTCCCAGAATTCCTGAGCTAACATGACTGGAGGAGGAATTCCGAGAGTTGAAGTCCACAGGTCTTAAAGCTGCCAAGTTTGGAGTCCTTTGGGTTAGAGTTCGGCTGGGGGAGGGGGCAGAGGGCAGACCGAGAGGAGCGAATTCCTGGCATGCGGGAGGGGGGAGAGGCGGCCTGTGGGTCCCACAGTCACCTTTTGGGTTCCCCTGGAAATATTTCAGGTGCCCATGCTTTTTATTTCCTCCATGCACCCCCTCCCCTTGTTAAATTCTTACAGCCACCCTTGTGTCTAAGGCCGGGGTCTTCAAACTTGACAGCTTTAAGACTTCTGGACTTCAGTTCCCAGAATTCCTGAGCTTAACATGACTGGAGGAGGAATTCTGGGAGTTGAAGTCCAGAAGTCTTAAAGTTGCCAAGTTTGAAGACCCCTGGTCTAAGGAGATTCTCAGACATCAGATCAGGGTTGTCCCTAAGGTGTTTTTTTTTTCAAGAGGCAACTGTTGTTTTTTTCCTTTTGAAGACATTTTGCTTCTCATCCAAGAAGCTTCTTCAGCTCAGAAGCTTCTTGGAAGAGAAGCGAAATGTCTTCAAAGAAAAAAACCAAGAAAAGTCCATTTGCCTCCTGAAAAGGAACTTTTGGGACAATCATGATCTGGATGACTAAGAATCTCCACAGACTTCTGGACAGATTAATCTTCAACCCAGCAAGAAAGTATAAATCCTTCCCTTCCCCACCATCCAAGTCAGAGCTGAAGAAGCTTCTTGGATGAGAAGTAAAACGTCTTCAAAGAAACACCAGAAAGTCCAGTTGCTTCTCGGAAAAAGCACCTTTGGGACAACCACCCTGTGAGGTAGGCTAGGAAGAGTGATCGAAAGCCTCCCCCAAATGAACAAGCTGAGCTCACGGGCCATGAACCCAACAACTGACACGTAGGGTGTATACACCAAACTAAGTAAGAAGCTCTAAGCGGCCCAATTAAATTTAAATTGTGGATTGATTCAGTGCCAGTAAGTCATTTTTGACTGCTAGGGGCTAATTAGATAGATTCCCACCCCCCAAATGCATTACTTTGTAAGGTAAAGACTGTGATGGCTGGGGATTATGGGAGTGGTAATTCCCTGGCAAGCATTTGACAGGGTCGAAAAGGGTGGGGGAGATGAAAAATTATGAAGATGGAGGCTACAACTGTACAATCGAATCCCTGAGCATGATGTCGCACAATTGTGGTTCCCAGCCTGAGTCTTTTGACCTCTTGTTCTAGATGCAACTCTTAAAGCATGCACTCACAGTGTAAAATCACACATCCCTCCCCCGAAATAAACCCACTGAGTTCACTGGGACTTCTCTTGTAGGTTGGGGTCCAGAGCCATGGAAGTGGCCTGTAAAAAGGAATTTGGGGTCCCTTCAGTTTAGGGAAGGAGACGGTACAAGCAGGCCTTGACGCAGGAGTATAACTGGGACCAGAATTCCTTTTGTTGAGCAAAGCAGGTGTTTTAAGATAACAAATAATCGGAATTGGAAGGGACCTTGTAGGTCATCTAGTCCAACCCCCTGCCCAAGCAGGAGACCCTACATCATTTCTGACAAATGACATTTCTGACAAATGGCAGTCCAATCTCTTCTTGAAAGTCTCATGACTCGTGCCCGATTTTACAATATTTTTTGCCATGGTTGTTAAACTAATCAGGCTGGCTTTTGACTCTGCTTGTTGGAAGTCAGCTGGGAAGGTTGCAAAGGAAATGGCGATTACATGACCCTCCCATAACACCACAAACGTCATAACTACATGGTGGTAAATTTTGATCACGTGGCTGTGGCAGGGTGGATTTGATTTAAATCACGATTTAAATCACTAGTAAAAAGGCTTGATTTAAATCAACTCGATTTAAATCATAATGTAGGGCAACTGTCATCTCTGCTGTGACATTGTGGGAATGCATGTTATCTCAGCTTGCGGAGCTTGGATTCACTGAGTTTACCCAAAATGTAAATATTGCAACACAGACAGCCTCGTGCTGCGTAACTGAGCTCCCTTTCATGGTGATTAAACTAAATTATGAATGTATCTTAAATAGAAAACAATCTTTAGATAGATTTTTGTTCCATGATCGTTTTATTAAAATAAATTTGATTTTAAAAAAATCAGATTTAAATTTTAAAAAAATCAGATTTCTCTATTTTTTAAAAAAAAATCATCAATTTTTATCCACCCTGGGCTGTGGAGAGGCTGCAAAGGTCATAAACGGGAGGAGCGGTTGTAAGTCATTTTTGCCAGCGCTGTTATAACTTGAAATGGTCACTACAGGAATAGTTGGAAGTCTTGTATCTTAAAATTGTTGAAGCTGAGAAACACAGTTAAAGCCTTTCTCAATAAAGTTTAATGTTACTCTTTTTATGAAGCCAGTTTAGAGGATATTTGTTATTTGGTAGCAACTCCAAGTAAGGAGTAAAGATTCCCCTCGCACACACGTGCTACTCATTCCTGTCTCTCGGGGGCAGTGTGCTCATCTCCGTTCCAAAGTTGAAGAGCCAGCGCTGTCTGAAGACGTCTCTGTGGTCATGTGGCCGACATGACTAAACGCCAAAGGCGCACAGAACGCTGTTCCCCTTCCCCACCAAAGGGAAAGGGGTCCCTATTTTTCTACTTGCACTTTTTTTTACATGCTTTCGAACTGTTAGGTTGGCAGAAGCTGGGACAAGTAACGGGAGCTCACTCGGTTACGTGGCGCTAGGGATTCGAACTGCCGAATTGCTGACCTTTCTGATCGACAAGCTCAGAGTCTTAGCCACTGAGCCACCACGTCCCTGTAACTCCAAGTAGCAGACCTTCATTTATTCCCAATCAACTTTCCCCACTTCTTAACTTCCCCTCAGTTAATCTTTCAGGGGTCCAGGCTGCACTTGAGGGAAGGGGCCATATTGGCTGAACAATGAAGCAAAGGCCTTATCCACACAACTCTATAACCCATAATGTGGTTTGCTTCCCTGTGACTTGTTCCCTGAACTTAGCCAACTCTGATCAAGAAACCATAATCAAGCCAAAGGCCTGTTTTGCCTACAGGCCGGAACGTCCATTTTTCTTTTTCTACACTGCCTTTTGTTGTCTTGCTTTTTAAGCTACCTCAATCCTCCTTTAAGGCAGAACCTTCTGTTCTCATGTGTGTGTTTTTCACCCCCACTTGCATCAAAAGAGCAATAAATTGCTTGGCTGGCTGGTTTTTAGCCTGCAGCAAAAAAAAAAAAAATCCATATAAAAGGTTCAGCACCATGGACAGATCCGGAGTTTTGGGCGACTTCCTGGTGCCCTGAAATGGGAAATGAGAGTTATATCGAGACAAAAATGAGGTTGGAGGTGTAGTTTTCGGCTAAAGAACACAAACCTACAAAGGGCCTGCAGATGGCCCCTCCCTGAAAGAGGGATCAGAAGTCACCCCAATAATTCCTTCCTTCGTACAACCAAGAGAAGGAAGCTGAGGGAAAGGGAAGACTGTTCATTCATCGAAGGAGCAAGTGAGCTGTCCAATGTACCACGCAGAAGGGGCGGAAAGTATATTTATAGTCTTGCTCCTAAGGGAGGAGTTTTTCTCAACCGGGATCCTGGATTTTAATCTGCCAGCTCCTTCCCCAAACACAAACACACACACACACACACACACACACACACACACACACACAAGCATGTCTCGTTCGGTGACATGGGTGATCGGGAGCAGAAAAGTCAACATATTTGACCAATGCCCAGTTGAGCAAAACTCATCTTGACACAAATGACAGAATTATTGAGCAGCGGAGTTTTTCCACTGAGCAACGCAACCAGGCACTTATGCTGGTAATGTGCACAGCCAAGCAGACCCCCCACATGCCAACGGACAATTGCAAATAATATATGCTGTATGCCTCAACATTATAACAACAACTTTCCTACTTTTAACACATCCTACCAGAAAAATACAAAGGTTATATTTCTTGTAGAAGAATTCAGTATCCTTAGAAGCTCCCAACTTTCATTTAAAGTTTTTTAGTCCTTATGGGTTCAAAAAAAGTTCAACCCAAACATTCCAATGCACATAGGTAATCACTAACCAGCTCATGGGGAAAATATTGGTTCTCATGCAGGGGAACCCCGGCAAAAGGAAGAAAAACACCAGAAAGCACCCAATGAAAAAAGCTCATTTCTGCATGAAACTTTTAAGGAGCTGCTTTCAACCGGCAGGGATAATCTGA